TTGTAATATATTAATTGGTCAAGCGGACCACGAAATTAGTGAATTTAATGATTAAAAATGAAGTACACTTCACTATAGCTCTCCGTGGCCATTCCATTTGTCGCCGAGAATCAAATAGATTACACGACATTTGAAAAATGGTAAAAAGGAGGGAAAATTCAAAAGGTGGGGTTGAGATGGGAAGTTAGTGTCCGAGTGGATCGAGGTCACGATAGCTCAAGTGGCATAGCAGCGGCGTATCTAGCCGAAGATCGTGGGTTCGAATCCCGCTAGTGCCATTGACTTTTTTATCTCAACTAAAAAAGCTTAATTAATTGTAATATATTAATTGGTCAAGCGGACCACGAAATTAGTGAATTTAATTATATTTAACCAATTTTAATTAACTTAATAACGTAACTTTTTTTTCAATTTTGAAGAAATATTCACGATACCCGAAATCTATTTCATTAACATTCTAGTCTATAAATTCTTAATTCATTCTAGTGCTTGCTATTTGGGTTTGCTAAATGCGTTTTTGGTTTCTCGCCATCATCACTAATGGCTATGCGAAAATAGGTAGACCAGAACGATCGGAAACTACTTTTGGAGCGTCGGCATGTCCTCCAGCACTTAAACTTTGGTATTTTGTGTTCGATCTGTGCCAATGGTTTTCATTGAAGAGTCTAATTTTTAATAAAGTATAAAATTAGTTCTTATCGAATTAGAGTCTCTACGTCTATATTACTCAAAAATAACTTTTCTAGGTACCACTATCTTTTCCTAGCTGATGCTGGACAGTTGCATAGGATATGTCTGTTGACTCTATCTCCTCTAGACGTAGTCGACATTGATAGGTAATAGCCTTTTTTTGTAGTAGTGAAGCATGTCTTATAAATATACCTGTTTAAGGGTTTTAATTCCTTTCTGTCTAGTTGGATCTCCTTTTTTTACATTAGGTTGTCTTGCTTGCCTAATGCCGGGCATATGCTCCCAGATTTTCTTGTTTTCTTTAGTAACTCAAGTTTTCAGCTTTTAATGCTGCTATGATTTGTGCCCCCTACGGTTCCGTTGCTCCTTTTTTGCCTTCTTGCCTGACATTCCCTCATGTTTTGGAACCCGCTTTACCGTCAGGTTATTTATAGATCCTAGTTTTTTAGGTTGTTTAGGCAGTTCCAGAGTAATTTTGAGTTGATCTCTTAGGCTTGGAGAACCTTTGGAGCTGCCTGGTTATATGATAGAATTATTATTTTCGCTCCGTTGAAATTTTGAGAGCTTGGAAAGTTGGTTGTGATGGACCCGAGGGGTTGCTCATAGGCCCAATCTACATCCTCGTTCCATTTCCTTCTTTGAACCATATCTTTACCAAAGAGCACCGAGTTTTTCTTCTTTTCTCTTAGCACTATTTTTTTTTCTACTTTGTTTCTTTTTCGTGGGTCTTTTAATGTTTGCATTCCACGATAACCCATGGTCGAGAGCTACAACTGTAACTTCTTTGGAATGCTTTATTTCTTGCTTTGTTAAGTTTCGTTAAGCCTGTATGCGTAAGAAAGGTTTAATCGTCATTCTTGAAAAATGTTTGCAATAACACTTAACGAGCAGGATCAACTTATTTTTATGACGGATACGTGCTTGACATTAGACGTAAACTTGTGCGAGACTTGTAGTAATGGCAGTGACATCAGGATATAAAGAAATATCAAGTAAAAAGTACAGTGCGAAATGCTGTCCTTGCAAAAAGTTGCCAATGATCGGAAAAGGCCAGATGGAACTAGGATGAGGCGGGACTTTCATTTAACCTTTGTAGTCTCGTATTTTTTGTCCTTTTTAATTGGTTGGAAAAGAATCAGATTTCGCGACGTTTGGACTATAAGCAGGCTGAGTCAAATGCGAATCTTGTATTGAAAACAAGTTACTTGGTTCAAATTGGAATATTCAATTCCGCTTCAAGCATACGCTTTTAAAAAAATCGATATTTCAACCAACTGTAAAGATTTAATCTAGGCCGGATAATCCGGTCACCGTGTTTTCCAATAAGGTTTTGGGTGAAATTTGAATCCTCAATTGTGGTCGATCATCTGGGAATAGCAGCATACCAATGGTCTATACTTTCTAGTAATTTAGACAGCATCGTCCGCTATAGAGCAGTCTAATCGAGGTTTTGGAAAAAGTGGTGGTTCTACTCCTAGCTCCGATTTACTTGTACAACAACTTTACATTCTTCCTCTACTCAAATGCTTACTTTTCACTTAATGAACATTTCTAATACGGCGTCCAAAGATATGAGGATGACGATTTTTCTGTCATTTATTGCTTTCGTTTATAATTCATTGTAGGTGAATACATAAAGTTGGACGATTTTTCCTTTTCTTCAACTCTTTGACTTCTTCAACTCAACATATATTTAAACCTATTTCAAATAGATTCAAACCTTTTCTACTTTAAGTTTAAAATGTTAATTTATTATTCAATTTTTCGATTTTAATTTTAACTTTTTCAACTATTTAATATATGACTTTTTCCATTTTAATTTCCACTTTTCCATTGAACATTCTTCTTTTCCATTTTAATTTTGATTTTTCCATTTATATTTCAACTTGTTCCGTTTACTTTTAAAACTTTTCCAGATGCGTTTCCTAATGTATTTAAACTTTACCACTTGCATTCAGTTTTTTACATTAAAATTTCAATTTTTCCATTTAATATTCACATTTTCCTTCGCTTTTCCATTTATCATTCATCTTTTTCTAATTCATTTTAATTTAAACCTCCATTTTAACTTAAAATTTTCCACTTAATAGTCACTTTTTTCCATTTTAGCTTAAACTTTTCCATTTAATAATATTCAACCTTTTTCATTTCATTTTCGACTTGTCCATTGAATATTCAAATTTTCCATTTTAATTTGAAATTTTCCATTTAATATTCAATTTTTACCATTTAACTTTTTTAAATTTTAACTTAAATAATTAAACTTAATCATTTTAATTTAATAATTTAATTTAATTTTTAATATTCAACCTTTTCCATTTCATTTTCGACTTGTCCATTGAATATTCAAATTTTCCATTTAATATTCAATTTTTACCATTTAACTTTTTAAAATTTTTAACTTAAATAATTAATCTTAATAATTTTATTTTATTTTATTTTTAATATTCAACCTTTTCCATTTCATTTTCGAATTGTCCATTGAATATTGAAATTTTCCATTTTAATTTGAAAGTTTCCATTTAATATTCAATTTTTACCATTTAACTTTTTAAATTTTAACTTAAATAATTAAACAATAATTTTAACTTAATAATTTAATTTAATTTTCAATATTCAACCTTTTCCATTTCATTTTCGACTTGTCCATTGAATATTCAAATTTTCCATTTTAATTTGAAATTTTCCATTTAATATTCAACTTTTATCATTTTAATGTCGGCTTGTCCATTTAATATTAAACCTTTTCCATTTTAATGTAAACTTTTTAGTTTTAAAGTTTTTAGCGTCCTGGATAGTGATATTCGGATTACGTTTCTGAATAGAGAGCACGCTCTGCAGTGTTCTTTGACCTCGAAATGGTGTAAGATACGACGTGGCACATCGGATTTATAGGCAAATTACCTCTTTCCTGAGAAACCGAAAGTTGCGTGTCAGGTTGGGGTCCGTGCTCTCCAGGGACTTAGTTCAAGAAAATGGAGTCCCTCAGGGTTCAGTATCAAGCGTAAAACTTTTCTTGATCGCAGTGAACGGAGTCGCGGGTGGTATCCCCCGACCAATTAGACGGTTACTACACATCGATGACCTTTGCTTTTTTAGACTTGAAAGACCTAGTAGAGGTTGAAAGGGTGATAGTTCAGCGATAAACCTTGTGGCAGGAAGAGCCGAGGAAACCGAATTCGCCTTCTCTGTCTCGAAAACCATTTGGGTTAACTTTTGCAGGCTGAGAAGGTCGCACAGCCCTCCGCATGTCTGCCTAAGGGCCGCTACGATAAGGAACGTAATGTCGGCGAAGTTCCTCGACCTCAAGCTTGATTCAAAGCTAAGATGAAAGCCACACATTGATGCCGTCGAGGTGAAGGAAGGAAAGTCATAACGTTGCTAAAGTTCGTTGATCACTTAAATTGGGGAGCAGAAAGACCCCTCTTGAAAAATCTCTCACTCGCTGCTGTCCTCGACCTTGTTTTATGGTTGCATGGCCTATTCTTTAGCTCGAAATACGCGCCTGCACAGTCTCGATAGGCTTTAATATCAGGGTCTTCGAGCGGTCTCGGGCGCGTTTAGAACAAGCCCTTTGGCCAGCTCGTGCTGTCAGCTGTGCAGCGGGATTCCTTGCCAAACCGGGACATCTGCTTTCGTGGCTATCCTTAGATGCCATTACATTAGAATATACGGCGACTTCAGACCAGACGCAACCCTGGGAAAACGCTTCGGCGAATCCTTAGGGAGTGCAGGGTTGTACTGGGAACGGTACTCGAGCTGGGCAACCGGCCGACCCCGTCCTGGGTCCCTCTGACCGTACTCATCCCGGACGATCTTGCCGTCTTAGCCAAGACTCGGAGCCAACTCCGCTATGCCTTTGCCGAGCTAAGTAAGGTACGCTGGATTTTGGTTTCCCTCGACCCCCTCGTAGTGTTTTTGTTAGTGATATGACGAACTAGACCGTCTCGGCGAAACGGTGGTTGTCGTCTGGGTACCTGGTCACGTAGGTCTGGTGGTTAATGAAAAGGCAGACGAGGCGCCTAAGGTCGGGACGTCTCAACCTCCCGACTTAACCACCTTGATCCGACCCTCTGACGCTAAAAATGGAATACAAAACATTATTAAAAGAGGGTGACAGCTTCAATGGGCCGGGTCGACAGAGAAGCACTCACGTATGAGGAGTACTATCGATGGTGGCCCTCGGAGGATCTGACTCCTAGACGAAGGGTCATCCTCACCCGATTTAGGTTAGGCCATGCAAGGTTGACACACGGACACTTACTTTTGGGCCAAAGCCCGCATATGTGTCCGGTATGTAGAGAAAGTTGTTCGATATGTCCCACCTAATTGAAGGGTGCAAGTACTTAGCTCCCTACAGAGAGCGCGTAGGAATATATTAGTGAATAACACGAGAATTGTGATTGAGCATGGCAGCGAGTAACTGGGAGGAACTCGATTCTTGGAGGAAACAGGTTGTTTTATTGTAATAGTACTGATATTGTGTCCACTAGTTGTGTTAAGAGCGAATTTATACACCCATATTCTCATATTTTTACTCTTATTTTTAAATTTAATGCACAACCTAAAAATAAAGACAGATTTTGAATTTTTGGCTATGTTTTTGTATTAACGAAAGAAAATTTAGTAGCAAGACAATTGCCTTAGGAGGATTAAAAAAATCGTGTGATCGAAAATCTTTTAGGGAGTTTTTGACTAGCTTTATTAAAAACAAAGATTTCCTTCGAGACCAATTGCGTTTAAAAAAATCGTTCTGGTCCGCGTGTTGGCGTTGGAATCAGACGCGTTCCGGCTCAACGACATCTCCATTCTCTGGAATGCCGATCGTGGTATGTCTTGGGCAAACTGCTGACGGCGGGTCATCAGCATGTGATTTCACCATTTGACCTTGTAGTGTTTGTTATTACGCGTACCATGTAATTTGTATCAAACAGCCAGATTATTTTCTGTTTTTGTTTTCGCGGATTATTTCTCCAGAAACTGGCTTCTCATAAATGATCGATTGTTGTAGAAATCCAGAGGACGAGCTTTCTTGGCAGATCGTCGACGCTAGTAATAGTCCGACCCATTTGGATTACAAGCCGGATCTTTGCGACGAAAACAGCAACATCTCGCCCGTCAGCGATGTGAGGATGGTGTTGAAAGTCCCACCCAGGGCGAAGCTCGGTTGCGGGTGAGTCTTGTCAATGATCAACAATAGTGAGACCGACTTCCTTTTACTTTCCTCAGGCCGGGACGTTTCCGGCCCCGATTCCCAGGCGTGTTTGTAAAAGTATTTCCTCGTTTTCAGAATATGCAAAGGGCCAGATTGGAAGCCGGGCGTCTTTGTGCAGTTCACCAAAGAAAACAGCATCGCAAGGGTCGCAGGGCTGAGGCCAGGTGATCAGATTGTCCAATGCAACAATTTCACCTTCACGCCCGAGACACCATTCAGCGAGGTAAGCCATTTACAAATCATTTTTCTTTTTTAACTGTCAACTTTGTCATTTTGTATAACAAGACAGAAACAGAACGTCCATTATTCCATTTTAACTTTTTAATACTTAGCTTTCAGATATAATTACATTTAAATATTACTATTATTATTATTATTATTATTCTTAACTTGGAAGGCCAAATGTATGCAAAAATCCCATTTTAAATTACATATAAAATGTATTAAATTCACTAGTTTTCGTGGTCCAAATAACATCTTTCAATTAATTAATCTGTATTTAAGGTATTGGTTGAGTTAAAAAAGTCAATGTCATAAATACAGATTAATTAATTGAAAGACATTATTTCATGACATTATTTGGACCACGAAAACTAATGAATTTAATAAGTTAAATGAAGGATATCTTCACTAAAGCTCTCCGTGGCCATTTCATTTGTCGCCGAGAATCAAATAGATTACACGACATTTGAAAAATGGCAAAAAGACGGGAAAATTCAAAAGGTGGGGTTGAGATGGAAAGTTGGTGTCCGAGTGGATTGAAATCACGATAGCTCAAGTGGTAGAGCAGCGGCTTATTGAGCCGAAGGTCGTGAGTTCGAATCCCGCTCGTGTCATTGACTTTTTTTATCTCAACTAAAAACCTTAATTAATTGAAAGATTATTATTATTGTATAAATGGTTTTGGTGGTATAAATATGCAGGGTGGTCAGCTTGTGTTAAAAAAAAATTTTTTCGTTGACAGTACATCTAAATTGGAGTAGAATGCCACCTCATGGTTTTATCTCAATTCTTTCAAAAGTTAGTATTTTTTAGTATTTCTTTGAGAAAAGTCTCGTTTCTCTACATGAAACCTGTTTTCTTTCCTCTAACGTAACTTCTCGCAACTTTTGACCCCCATTTTTAGATAGCACCAAATCTCCTTTCAGATTAGTCCACTTTTGTTTTAAAAATTGCCAGTCTACAAAATAACTGCACAAACTTTATGAAAATTTGCGAAATTGTAATTTGGAATCAACTTCTTTAGATATTTTAGCCGTAGCTTCCTTACATTACTTTTTTAAAATTTACTTTCATTTCGACCAAAACCTTACATAAAAAGATTAAGTAATTGAAAGAAGTAATTTGGTCAATAGACCAATAAATATAATGGATTTTTAAAACTGTCAAACCAGCTAAAAACATCGACATTTCGTGAGCTTTCGAACGGTCTATTCGAAATCTCGATTATTTTGATTTTTTACGGGCAATTTCAGTTGGATGTTAGTAGGAAAACGTGGTCCTGGGATTAAATACCTTGTTTAAGTGTTGATTTCTTTTTATATATCAATATATAAGATTATATCTATCAATCCTCGTGGTGCCGGTGACAAAAGCTAAAGGGGGTAACGGATAATTTATNTTTATTTTTTTTTTAACGAGGGTTTGCAACATTAGAGGTCATATAAACCTTCAGGATGCCGGTGTTTTTGAAAAAAAGCCCATTTGTAAGTACGTCGGGTTGGAATGCAGAGCCGCTGGATTCGAACCGGGCACCTTTACCATGCATTGATGAGCGCCGTGTCAACGCCTAAACCGTTGCGGCCACCGACGCCCCTGGGGTTTTTATTCTGGAGAAAAGTTTATTTCTTTACTTAATTACTGCATAATGTATTGTGTATTTGTTAATTATTAATTTACATGAAAAGGTATCATTACGTATGAAAAAATGTTTAAATTAAATTGGAAAAAGTTGAATTATGTTGAAAAGTCGAAATTAAAATTGAAAAAAAAAAACATTAGTGAATAAAATAGTCAAATACAAATTAGAAAAGCTTGAATATTAATCTGAACAGTCGAAATAAAAACATAAAAATTTGTGTAATAGATAGAAAATTTTAAGTTAAAATTTAAAAAAGTTAAATGGAAAAAATTGAATGTTAAACGGTAAAGTTTAAATACATTTGGAAACAGATCAATTGAATGTGAAAATGATTTTGAAACGTAATATAAAATGATTAATTGTAAATGGAAAAATCGAAATTAAAATGGTAAAAATGGAAAATCAAGTTAAAATGGGAAAAGTTTAATATTAAACCGCCAAGTTTAAATTAAAATTGAAAAAGTTTAATATTAAATGGAAAAGTTTAAGTTAAAATGGAAATAATACATGAAAAAGTAGAACAAAATAAAAAAAAAGGTTGAATAAAAGTTTAAAAAAATCTGTATATTGACCAAGTCCAACAAAAGCGAAAAGAACAGGAAAACTATTTCTTCGTTCGTCGACCCTGAGATAATCTTTGTTTGCACTCAAAAAAGTTAATTTCAAACGTTTTTTTCCCATAATTAGATTGTTATTTTTTTCCATAGTTAAAACAAGGCGACAACAAAATCAAAGCGTTGTTTATTTGAAGATTACTTGATATGCTAACTGAAAGTGCTTAATTTTAAAACGCAGTTATATTTTTTAAGCTCATCTTTGTTTAAACAGAAACACATACGAGAGCAAAATCGTAAGTTTCTGATTATTGGTGAGTTGATGACATCATGTCCGATATAATTGAAGTGGGTCCTTGGCACCATATAGGGAGCGAGTAGGTCGGACCGATATAATAATTGTACCTGAACATTGAAGCGAAAATCTGGGTCCCCTGAACCGAGTTTTGAAAGAAGGCAGTTTATTTTTAGTACCTAAAAGATATCTCATTTTGAAATTGAATGTATTTATTAATGTGAATGACAATTACGGTATCAATACTCCTTGAGCCAAAACAACGTAGTGATCATTTCGTTCTGTAAGTGTTGCTAATCTTGAATATTGTGTTTGTTGATTTTATTTTTAATAACACCTTTTACATTGAGGTATTTGTCTATTTTTATGCCACCTTAATTGTCATATAAACTATAAAGGAGTGTAAAGATTTAGTTTCCCTATCAATCAGGAATATCATCAATATCAGGAATTTTTTGATAGGGTGTTCAAGATGTGAATTTTCTATAAAAATGTCAGAAATGGTGAATTTTGTGTACCTCCTTCACCTCCTAACTTCTAAAAATCGCCAAAAATGAAATTTTCGACCGATCAGGCTGGTTTTAATATCATTCGATGCAGAAATTAATCCCCTACAGATGTTGTTTCAAGCTGTTTTACGGTCATAGCTAACGGTTTACTAACAATTTCACGAATATGGTCAAAAAACGTGGTTTTTCATGGTTTTTTGCCTGTAGCTCGGAACTGAAGGGTTTGTGGACACAGGTTCATAGGACCTTTTCTACTCAGCGTTCAATTTCCTATAAGATCTGGCAGTGTGGCTGAATCGATTAGGGCCACCCTGTATTATTATAGATCGGGACAAAAACAGTGACAGGGGAATCCATAAGGGAACATTGGACCATAGTTTCTACCATTTTTGGTTTCGATTCTTTTTGGCAAAATGACAGATTTTGGATTAAGTTCAGTGACTTGTTCCCTGACTCCGTCTGACAACCTATTTCTTTCGTGCCCATTTTAACTTTTTCGGCAAAGTAATCCCTTTTTGAATGATGTCAGAGCCTATTAGGGACTTTGCTCGGTTAAACGTTATTTTATTTTTCACTTTCAGCTCCAAAACTTTTATATTTATATCTTGGACAATAACGCGCCAAGGTGTTATGTGGACCTTGACAATTCATGTACACTGGAGACTGACAAGGACATTTTCGTGCCTTTCCAGCCCACATCCACACATATAGATGTAGATGTAGATGTAATATTCGGGGTGTAATATACTGCGCCCTTTAAGAGCTATTGTAGCCCCCGTTCTCTGCCTAAAGCACATCGGTGAGTCCTATTTCATCAAGAAACTTGATTAGTAGGCCCGGTTTCAGTGATTGAAGCTCTTCTATGGTCACATTATACATCTCAAAACATTTCCTCCTGCGGGCTAGTGTAGCTGCGCAGTTTGTTAGTAAATGGGTTGGTGTCTCTTCTGCCTCCTTGCAGAATCTGCATGTGCCATCTTTGATTGTTCCAAATTTTCTTTAAGTGTCCATTTAATCTACAGTGTCCTGTTAGGATTTGCAGTCTGTTCCTGCTTCAATGTTATGGATGTACACCATAATAGTAAGACCTTTACTTACATACGGAGCTATAGCCTGGGCTGATAAAGCAGAACAAATAACCAAAAGAAAAGAACTCACAAAAATACAGAGACTTGCATGCATCTGCATAACGGGAGCAAGGAACAGTCTTTTCGTGCCTTTCCAGCCCACATCCTCACATAAAAACCTTCTTCTTACAAGAAGAAATTGTATTTCCAAAATCTAAACATTTAAAACACCGTAGGGGAGCAGGAATAAATGATCTTACGGGAATCTTCATATAGGCAACACATTTATTTTGGAGGACACGGGGTATTGAATGTGACAATCCATGAAAAAGATATCCTACCATCTTTTCTTTTTAACCGATGAATGCTTATGACATTAGAACTCTTTAATTTTTCGAGTTCTTCATCAGTACACTCTTTCAAGTCCCAGCAAGAAATTACACCTTTTGAGGTGTTCAATTTTACATTGCTTTCAACTTTTACCGGTATACTTTCTAAATTCTTAATTTTCATTATTTTACTACCTTGTTCCTCATTGAACGCTTCGATATAAATTAACCGTCACGACCTTTTTTTATGTTTACTACTTTCCTACTTCTCTATTTATTACTCTACATATTCTTATTGGCGACAGTGAGTGAAGGCCGCCGTTATCTTTCCCATCTGATCTACAAATAATAAAATGTCTTGCCTCAGAAGTAGAAACAACTGGAGAGGGAGTCCTATTTAGAAAAGGTAATCGATTTCGAAAACCTTCTCGGCCCACTGGGCCGAAAGGGCCTTTCAAATGATTGTGGAAAATTTTGAAAAAATTTAAAAAACAGATGACGATAAAAGAAAAAGAGAAAAACTAAATAAATAAATCTTACCCAACCCTGAAACCAGGGTTCTATAGGAAGATTCAGGCCCCACACTTCCCAATAGGGAATCCGAGCTA